AAGAAAAAAAATTCCAAAGGAAGATCGATTTGTTGGTAATTCTTAGTATAGGCTCTTAAAAGTAATGAGAAAAAATACCCTCCTCTGGGTGTCTCCCCCTTTTGAATATGTTTCGCTTGTGCATACTGGGTCTACATTTATGGAAACGTGCTTACACCTTTTTGACGATTTGTTCCTGCACATGTATAGATGCGCCTGCATACGAACCACACGACTTCGCTCCTGTTAAGTGTACACATGTTAACATCAAAGAGTCTGCTTTGGCTTGGCATCCTCACCAAATCGTTATGCACTACGCTCATGTTTAAAATTTCACATCACTTGTAAATTCTCAGTGTATGTTTACAACTATGGAACGTACACACAGCGGCTTTAATGAATTCAGAACGGTGTGTTTCTTCCCCGCGCAGAGAGTAAAGGGGAGAAAAAAAAATAGAAAACATGACCAAAAAGAATGACGAAATTTGGGTGCCACATCGGACATTTGCTTAAAATTTAAAGGAAGAGACCCATTTCCTGTTAAATGGAAATGTTGACAACAGAACAGAACAATGAAAAGGGGTGTTTTCATATGGGAATTTCTTTTTTTTAACCCCTTGTGCGATGGTGTTACCTCACGTTTTAAAAACTTCATTCGTCACCAGATGTTCGAAAAATATATCATTCGCGTTCATGTAAGAGAGAAATCCCGTTTATTCAGCATACACACGTCGTATAAACGGTATGCCTAAAATTTACCCATTTTGCAGACTTCTCATGCACAAGTCAAACTCGCACTCGACATACACTTTGAGCGGGGAGTGCCCTCTCGCTTTAGCTAGGAATAATTCTACATTCCAGATGAGTCTTACTTCTATCAAAAAAGAAAAGATGTTAAGATAAAAAAAAAAATCTCCGAAGTGTGTGTACCCTATGGTCACGTCAACTTTTGTGGGAAAGCAGTTCAGCTGTTTGCCTCTTATGTGTAAAAGTGGCCTACCATTTTTATCACACCATGTTGAAATTTTCTTTTTTTTTTTTTTCAACTTTTCTCCTTTAAACATTAAAGAGGTCATTTTTATTTACCACGAAAGGGTTAAAAAAAAAAAAAAGACGAAAGCAGTTGGGTATGTGGTTTCCCTTCACTTCGTTCCATGCACAATGTTGTGGTACTTATATTTTTCCCCCTTTGTGTAATTTGATGTTCCTTTTTAGCTTTACTCCCCATTTTTCTCAGAATAAATACCATTTTATGAATAGAAAATCGGTTAATTTAGCCCCCTTGTTTAAGAACAAGTTTGCGTTTCAAAGTTCTACCAATAGCTTGTTATAGGGGGTAAAAATTCAAAGAGGACTAGGCCACACGAGCGACTGGAAAAAATGCATGTATTTATACATATGTTCTTATAAGTTATGCATACATTTAAATGTATATTTGGCTCTTGCAAAAGGGCAAAGTAAAAATAAACATCTTTTCGCGTTTCCAAAAATGTAAGAAAAAATCGTTACTTCTGTTTCATCCGTAAACGTAGCAGTTCTTGTTCACCCCGCTTTTATAACATACGCATGGGGGTGTTTTGCGCCACTTTGTTAAGGCGTGCCCGAGATATCCGCAACCAAGCGGAAAGAAGAAAAGGGGGAAAAAGCATGCTCTTTTTTCTGATGCGCATTTCGGAAATATTTCAAAAAAAAAAAGGAAGGAATGTTGACTGAAAAATAATGCCAACGGGGGAAAAATTTTATTCTTAACTTTTCAGGAGTATACCCAATTTTTTACCACTTCGTTCAAACTGCAGAAAAGAAGAAAACCTATTTTTTCTTTGCATAATACGGCGCTTTTCCGTCCACCAAGGGGGGTTTTCCCTGAGTACATCTGAGGAGAGACTCTTTTGGGAAAACGAAAAGAAAAAAAAAGAGAAAAACAACAAGCGACAAACAGCAAACAGCAAAGCGGCGTTTGCTTGGCGCAGGCCGTGCCTACTATGCATTCCCGTTTGTACATTATTATGAAGCCGGGTTTGCGCCTCCCCTGACGAACGGCTCATGTTAGATATACGCATGCCGCACGGCACATGCGTAGCGACACGGTATACTTTATGCCTAGGCATACCGAATGAAAAGAGACTTTTCCAGCAGAGTGGGACGTTTGAGAGGCAAAGCCGTGAAAGAAGTAGCAAATCAGAGGAGCAGAAGAAGCAGGCGAAAGGACGCAGATAATACATATAACACCATTCAAACGTACAGATATATCTACCTCCCCAAAATGAACCGAAAAAATGAGGAAGCCTGGAGATAACAACAAACACATTTTTAAGCGGGAAAGTGACAGCTCAAAGATAACCAAGTTGATGCGAAACATATCGCCCCTTTTTTTTATGAGTGAATTTTTATACATTCTCTTCCTCCGTTACAATGATTATATACTGAGTACCCGATATAAAGCCGAAATAAGTGAAGACGTGAGGAAAAACATATACAACATTTTAATACTTGTGTACTTTTTAAAGCCCTTTTTTGCATTCTTAACGGATAATGTGTACTTTAACATAAATAATGTCGTCTCCTTTTTGACGCGAAAGTTGTACGAGGTGGGAAATATTCTGCAGAATTTTTTTTATTACTGTACCAGAACAGTGTGTAACGGGAAATATATTTTTTTTAAGATATTTTTTAGCAACAAATATATGAAGGATGGAGTTTCATCGGGGTCTCGTTTTTTAAGAAAAGCAGGCCTCAGTAAGTACTCCTACATAGACAATTTTGTGCATTTGCCACTGAACAGGAAGTATTACATAGTTTTAAGCGAATTTGCCACCACGTTTCTGCTTCTATTTATATACCTTTTTAATAACAAGATGAGCTGCTTTTCCTACCTGGCGGTTGTCTTTTTGGTTTCGAGTCAAATGCTCCTATCGTCTTGCGTTTTCGAAGGAATCGTAGTCGAGCGATGCAGAAAACAGATACACGTTGAGAAAATCTTCTACATATCTTATGTCATGTGTATAAAGATTTTCTGTTCCCTTATCTTGTATTATTTGTACATTTTAAAAATAAGTATTTACCTATTAATTTTGAAAAGTCTCGTCATCTTCATCGTTTCTTGTCTCTGTAGCGAAGAGACGCTTTTTCTAAACTCGAGCTTTAAGATACAACGGAACATAATACAGAAGAGTGAGAATGGAAGCGTTCATGTGAAAAACACCGTGGACTTACTTTCGCAACTTGCAGTTCTGAAGAAACTGCTCTTTAAGGAAAATTTGTTCAAAATACTCTTCCTTTTAATTCTGTTCAATTCGTCCATTGACACCAAGTTTTCGATCCTGCAGTACGGTGTGCAGAATTACCAATGGCCGCATTCGCTGATTAGTTACATCCCCCTGGTGTCGCAGTAAGGAGATGAGGGGACGGAAAATGGGCATATATGACTCTTATTACTACGTTGGCTTTTCCACTTCACGTTAGTCACCCCATCGCATATTTTGTCCGCTTCCCCCCCGCCGCTTCCCCTTTGTAGGTCTTCCAAACTGATAGGAATCTCCATCTTCCAATTGTACACAAATAAGAAAACTTACAAAAGTTACGCCATGATAACGATATTATCCAACGTAGTACTGAAAATAGCTAGCTTTATTTTTTTATACTATAACAAGAGCACATATGTCAGCCCCTTTCTCTTCCTACTTAACATAATCGTTCAGAATGTGTCTATTAAAATTTTAGCCCTCCCCATACTGCTCGTGTGTATAGAAAAGGCTCCATTAAATTTGGAGTCCACTCTACTCAATATCTACATTTTCTGTTTTAACTTGTCCAACCTTATTAGTAAAAGATACTTCTTATGGAATCTCATTTTGCACATGTCGAAGAATGTTTTTATAATTCTACTCCTCTCTTTCTTAACCACATGTAGCAGTTTACTCTACTACTTTAACCTATCATTAGATTCGTTAAACAGCGTCAATGCATCCATGTCGTGTTTGAACGAAAAGGAGGAAGCCCTCCATTTGAAATTGAATAAATATGACAAGAAAAAAAATTATGCACCTCCCTCGGATAATCTCTTCGATACATATGAGAAAAAAAATTCTTCCAAAAAGTTTGTTCGCTTTAGAGAAGAAAACATCAAGACGGAAAAATGCAGGAAGGAGCCGAACAAGAGTAAATCCAATTTGTTTAAAATCGCGCCAGATTACAGCTCCGATAGTGATGACAATCAGTGGCTCATAATTGACAATTTGAAGGTACGCAAAATTTTTCTGCCAGCATGGAAAGGGCATTCTTTTATTTTTTTTAACTTAAAATTGGACATTTTATGTATATGATATGCTTCTTAACTGTGTGCGTAAATTGGGGAGGACTGTTCCCCCCCGTTTGTTTATTTTCAGCGATACGCAGTTCTTTTCTTTTATACACCTTATTGCCCGTGCGAGGGGAGGAATAATGTGGGGGCACTAGGCCCCTTCTAACCAACGCATATTACGCGTGACATATATATGACCCTATTAGGAGCAAATGTGCAGGGATGAAAATGAAGTGGAAGTGCAGCGTATATCCTGCCGTACTTTTTTCTTCCTTCATTTTACGCGTATTGTTAACTTTGTTGCCTTTTTTTTTTTTTTTCACCAGGGGAGCGGAAGGAAAACGTACGGACAACAGAGCCCCTTGAACATTTCAAATATGATGTTGTAAGGGGGAAGTAGAACGGAGAAGGGACAAAGGAGAAAGCAATAAAGAGAACGAGAAAGGGAAGGCCCTCTTGCATACCATACTGTAATAATTTACATTTGAAATATGCCAGAAAGAGCCGGGTGCGCGGACCGTACTCCGAGCGTGAACAAATATTTTGTGTTCCTGTACGCA